AATACATAGTATTCTCAGTTCCACAATTTGGCACCCAAACAGAGAACACATGTAATACACTTTTGTATTTCTACGTCCTAGGTGTTTCAAAATTGCAACCTATCTCTTAAAGATAGTCTCTATGGAATTCTTCAAGAAATTCTGATATTATAAATTCAAAGTGGCTAAGTACGGTTAGACTGCCAGTCCAGCCGTATTATCTTGGTTTGGCCCTATTGACTCAAAACCTGTTGAGGGCACTGGTCTCATTATATCTAGATCTAGTAATTATTCTGGTTTAAAATACTTGCAACTCAGTAAGGCACCTTTCGGTTTTGTCTGAAATACAAATACTTTAGGCATTGCAAACTAAATATATATTACAATTCAGCCATCATTACTTAAAAGAACGGCTAGCCTGACAGTCTAGCCGTAATTATCTTATGTTAATTTGAAAACAAGTCTCATTAGTAATTATTCAGGTTTAAACATGTACTCTCAGTAAGGCACCTGGTTTCGTCTCAAATACAAATACTTTTGGTACAACAAACTAAATATTTACAATTCGGTAGGCCTATTTTTTGGTCAGTCTGGTCATCATTTAAGTAAGGCTAGTCTCTTCCATATAAATTTAAAATTGTAGCCACTTACCATAGCGATTTTTTTCTTTCATATTCATATCCTTGAAGTCGGCGTTCACAGTAGAGCATACCTCGTTCCATGCATTTGCTGTGGCTTTTTTGGCTTTGTAGGCTTCTAAACTTCTATCCCAAATGACTGGATTCTGTTTTACAGCGGCAATCAGACTGTTTGTCTCTACTCTGGCGTTCATCTTGGTGCCGGTATAATATAAGCAGAGACTGGACTGGATGTTTAGTACTCGTTGTTGTAGTTTTTGACTGGCTAAATGTGTGCACAGGCCTGGACAAGACCATGGGAGTACAGATTAGCCAAATTATGTGTGTACTGTGTGGAGGCAAAGCAACATCAACACACATCAAGCGAGTTCGGAGCCAGGACGAGCGGGTACACACCAGGCAACACACACACCGCCGTGCCGCTTGTTTGACTGCTGCTTTGGGCGGGAGTGCGGGAGGCGGGAGACCGTGTATCGTGTCGTGACCCTGCCACCGCTGACTCGCGCGGCTGAAGGTATCGCACAACCGCGTGCCTCTCAACGAGAGAGAGAGAGAGAGAGAGAGAGAGAGAGAGAGAGAGAGAGAGA